CTCTTAATGAAAAAAGTTACGTTTAGATCTTTAAAAAGTGCATATAGTTTGCATATAACTTTTATGTTGTCGAGCTTGTAGCACGAGTAGGACAATTTTTTCGATTGTGACCGACCTGACAGTATAAACCACACTTTCTTTCTAGGTTGTCAAGGGAGTCCATTTCAGTTGTGATATGCTTGCTTTTGGGACGGTCCTTTTTATTCCTTCACATTTGATCGTTGTTCTATACTATCCTCTTCGTATGGATGCCAATAATCAAGTTTCACTACCACTAGAAAGTCATTGTTGTATACACTTAGCAATGTTTCAGAATTGTAAATGGAAGATATAAGTAGTAATGTATATTAATGAGTATACATACACGTCGCAATGACATGAGAGCAAGGCATATGAAAGGCTTGAAACTTCCCACAATCGCACCAACGAGATGGTAGTATAACCCTATACTCTTGTCTTGACAGCCCTTTGTTGTGGTCGATTGTCTCTTCGACAACGAAGTTGTGGCTATGTCGGTCGAACTTTATAACAAGATGGGTGTTGGCTTTGGCACCTTCTGCCTTAATATATTCCATGCAACTTTCACTTTATAGTTGTCCCGATTGTAAGATCGCGTTCCATATTTCACTTCTTTTTGAAAACAACGAAGTCATCCTAAAATATGTTGATTTCACCAAAGCGGTTACTGGGAGGTTTCATTCGCCTTTGAATACACCGTTTATTGATTTGTTGTCATGTGGCCTCATCGTTGTCAATTGTCGTATGACCTTGTCCATTTCTCTGTTGGAATATTATCAATCCACCTACATGCATTCAGATTTGATAATCTGATCTCGTTGCGATAATGTTTGAACGAAGGTTATGTTAATGCATACCCCGCATTCATAACTGCTTTCCTAAAAGCCATGTCTTTGATCTCCCTCGTGAAATTTTATACGATATGTCTAATGCAGTAGACATGTGTAGAAGGACAGTCATGCCAACCATTTGCAGAATTATTGTATGCACTCTCAATAGATGCATGTTTGTCAGAGATCATACATAGACCATGTTGTGGAGCCACGTGTGTTCGGAGATTTTTGAGAAAGAAACTCCAAGCACCACCAGTCTCTCCCTCGACTAGAGCAAAGGCAATTGGGGAAATGTTATTGTTTCCATCTTGTGCAACTGCCATCGGTAACGTGCCTTTGTATTTCTCGTATAACCACGTTACATATATCTGAATAATAGGTTTGCAAGACGCAAACCCTGTGATGCAAGGTTGAAAAGCCCAAATTAGTCGATTGAATATTCCATTTCCGTTGACAAAAGTACTATATGGGGCATACACCGACAATGTTTCCATAATATAAACAGTTCTATGAGCATACGTCTGAAGTGCATGTAGGTAGTGCAGCAGTTCTTTATATGACTCCTCCCAATTTCCATATATCTTTTCAATCGCCTTGGTCTTTGCTAACCACGCCTTTTGTATGATGAAGTATAATTGTATACTGTAGTGATGTGAGAGATTATGGTTTTCACCTTCAAAGACGGATCATTGTTGACAATAGGTAGGATTTCTTTACATATTAGATCATAATTTAGTGTACGATGATCTTGTGATTGAGTAGAATTACCGCACGTGTGGATGGACAAAGAACATATCACCCAACAATCACTTCTCAACTTGTATGATGCAGTGAGCCTGAACATACAATCTGGGTGAACACACTTGAGCTTGTACCTTTCTAGGTTTACCCGATCTACCTTAAAATCAACATAATTTAACACGTGAAACTTTTTTATAACTCACATACAATCTTCTCTTGAACGAAAATTGTCTTTCTCTTTTAAATTTTCATATGACTGCATATACAAGTTGAAAATAACATCTGATGATGGTTCATCTCTGCCCATTATAAAGTTTGTCATGTGTGAAGGTGGTGTGTAGATTTCATTTGGAGGTATTTTATGTAGCGCATCGTCTTCAGAATCATTGTTAACCATGTTGTCAAACTCTAACTCTTCATCTTCCTCTTATTTGTCAACGACATATACTTCTGCTTGTTCGTCTTCGAGAGGATCAACCACTTGTGATTAAGGTTGTTATGACATTTGAGGCTTCTACAGCACAACGTACAACTCAATCGAGTCGTACCCAGAATACTCATGACTAGAAAACATATTTTGAAGGTCCTCGTCATCTTGAACCTCTACCTTATAAAATATTATTTGATTCTCACAAAAAAAATCAGATTTTGATAGAAGATGTGTGACACTGGACCTTGTTCAAGTTTGAGCTCTAGTCATTTTTTGAAATACGAAAAATTGGCTTTTATGTTTAAACAAAATCAGATGTTATCATTGTTTCTAAATAAAAAACCAGAGATATCACAATTGTACGTCTCTCCATTGAAATGTGCACTGATAACATATTGTGTTGCAGAGGACATTGTGTTTGCGTGTTTAAGTGTTTGAATATGTGAGAATTTGATAACATAAGGTGCATATAGGAGAATAAATAACGCGCATATGAGGCGAACAAGACAATTTTGATAAACCAATTAGGCGCCAATTTGGATGGCGAATTCTCATATAATTGGCCTAAGGCGCCAACTGGGATGACGCGTTCCTTATAGGCTTGTCACGTAGCATGCATGCAGTCCTTTAAGTATTGTGTAATGGATATGAATTACAGCAAGAATTCAAGATTCAATGTCGCTTTATACCGAAATCTTTTGGATCACCTTGTCCCGGATGATGTATGTGGTACCTCTAAACTATTATACTTTTAAATTATTTATTTTTAACATTTTTGTTATTCTGATTAATTTGTATCCACAGTTTATCTTGAGACCATATTTGGGTTTGGACCATGAACCCAACCTCGAGGATGTAACAGTTTGGAATGCAAAGACTGCAATCATACGATTCAACATTATGGAGATACACCACAACGACCATGTCAAGATGCAGTTCGGAATGCATCAAGAAATACCATGCGGTCCAACTTCTTTGTCACCTTGGCATCTCAAAAGGGTCGATGCTCAATGGTGTGTTAATACTTGGAAAGATTTCGCTTCAGAATGGTGTAAGATGTGGCGTATGCATCACCAATATGTCTTACAATTTCCTATTTTCCAAAACTAGATTAATATGCGACACACATATTAGTATATTGATTGGGACAAATCAGTCACTAACCCTGAAATGCATGTGTCTCACCCGAGGTATTTGATCGACTCTCACACACAATGGGCACATTTATACACTACACAACAACAACCCCAACACACATCAACCTCCCACCAAACACACCAACGATACAGATCCACCAACACTCAATCCCAAACCCAAGACCAATATCAATACACACATGCCCCACACACAATCATAAGACCAAGAACAACGACCATACATCCGACATCTTGGTGTGGGCCCCTCGTCGTCTCACCTTAGCCCAAACATTGATTAACCCGAAGGATATTCACCAACCAACCCAACTTACCAACAAACATCCTCACCCCCAACCAATACGATCAAACTTTGATGGCATGGATAACTGACTATTTGAAAGCGGATCTTCCGAATATGATGATCTGACAGCTTTCATGGATCCTGAACGCATTGACTTCGTAGGACCCTTGATCAAACTGCAACAGGAAATACATCAAAACGGATCGTTATCGAGTCCCTGGAGACAACTAATTGATGTGTATTTTTTAATCTCATTATGTAATCATTGCATCACCTGAGATGACTTATGCATTATAACTTTTTCTAAAATATAACTATTTACGTAATTTTCTTTAAAACATTTATTTGTGTATTTCTTATTATTTATATTTTTCTTGTGAGATGCACTTATAATTTTACATTGTCCCCTAATAAATTTCATGTATATTGTCAAATCACTTTTATATTTTAAAAATTATTTAATTAAGTTACATAGTTAAGCTCTAAATAATAATATAATTAATTTGAATAATTATTGATTAAACAAAACAAAAATATTTAAAAAAAATTGAATATAGTGTCAAATCACTTTTATATTTTAAAATTATTTAATTATGTTACATTGTTAAGATCTAAATAATAATATAATTAATTGAATAATTACTGATTATACAAAACAAAAATATTAAAATAATTAATTTTGAAATAATAGAACTAGAATCCCTCTTATAATTCTATGGAGTCGCTGAGTAAATTTATAAAACAAATTACTATTCCAATAGAAAATCACATGTCACTAATAATATAAATAATAGTTTTGATTAGTTATAAAGAAAGAATGCGTGAGAAGAGAGAAATAAATAACAACTAAAAAAGAATTAGATTGTTTGTTATAAAAGAAATAAGAGAGAAATAGAAGAGAAAAGATTTATAATGGTTGTTTGTTATAAAAGAAATAAGAGAGAAATAGAAAAGAAAGAAGTGTGTAAAATTTTAAAAGAACAATTTAACTTCTTTAAGACAATTTAAGGGTAAACATGAAATAAAGCAAAAAAAATTGTTTCTTTATCTCCTTTTTTGAGATCAGAAAAAGTAACATGCTCACATAATTTCATTATCTCTTCCCTAATTCTCACCAAACCAAAAGAGAAATGGATATCTCTCTTCAACTTCTCTCTTTCCTTAATGGAAATATGCAAGAAAACTTTTAAAAACATTTTAAAGCAAATATCTAGAAGAGATAGGCTTCCTAGACTAAAATGTTTGATAAATAATTTTTACAACCATCAAAGTTGAGACGCAAAGCAACAGATTCAAATAATAGAGCCAGAAAAACTACATCCATTCATTCTACAATCACAGATGAGAATAGTTAACAGCATAGTATAGATAAATAACATAGATAAAATGCAAATAAAAGAAAATTCAGATGTATTCAAGATAAACCAACACAAAATTGAGTCTGATTTATGCATAAATAATAGGTCTGTCTAAACAACAAATAAAAGATACCAAAATAGCATAAACAAGACAATCCAAAAAACATTGAGAAAACAAAACAACTAATACCCTCCCTTCAAATCATTAACCACATCATAAGGAATTGGAGTAACCGTTTCCAAAGTAGCTCCTTCAACCTTGAAACCAGGCTTAGGTCCTTCCGGTTTGCGCTTCGTGCTAATAACCTCACCCTTCGCCTTCGCCTCAGCCTTGAGCTTATCATTTTGAATCTTCCTCAAACGAAACTCCTCAGTGCACCTTGAAGGCATCACATGCTCCACACGCACATGAATCCTCTTCCTCAGAATCTTATTCCTAACCTAAAAAACCACACAACACATAAACCAGATCCTCCATAAACACTGAAACCTAAAAACAATGAATTAAAACCATAGATCAAATCGGATTTATACCTGTTTGTTAACCTCGACACCGATGGCGCGTTTGGTGACGTTCCATACACGACCGGTACGACCATGGTAGAACTTGTGAGGCATACCTTTGTGAACTGCGCCGTTAACTCTAACATCAACGTAATCGCCGATTTTGTATGTTCGGAGGTATGTTGCTAGGGCGATTACCCCCTTCTTCCTGAATGGGCGGGAAAATGAATCCCTCGTGCGAGATCGCAACCCATGTCCTGCCGGCATCTTGTCTAGGGTTTCTGTTGCACCTTCTCTGCCTCTGTTTACAGCTACTGAAATGAAACTTCTTTTTTATTGCTGAACCCTAGGGTTTCCAATTGGGCTTTTCTTTTTTCTTTATGGGCCGGGTCCATTCTCTTTTTTGTTTCTTCTTGGGCTTTTCTTTTAAGATATTTAATGATGTAAGTAATCTTGACATTACAAATTTTGGAAAAGAAAATTTTATTACAAAATTTATTGGTAAAATTAATTTAATTTGATTTTTATTTTATGAATATTAAAACCTAGTGAAAATATGTATTATGTTAGTAAGAATATATTCTTAATTAAATTTTGAATGAACGTAAATTTCATAATCAAATAACAAAAGCGTATACTTAATTGGATTTAAATTTATAAAGATAATCTTTTTTTTATAGATAACGATACTTGTAAATTTAAATCAATATCAAATTAAGAGGAAAACTGATAACATGTTTTTGTGGTTATGTTAAGCTTCAGTGAGTAATTCATCATATTCTCTAATTTATCGCTAATTTCGTATTCAATTTCTCTTTCTTTTGTTGATTTTTGCGATGGTGTGTAGATCCGTGGGAGGATGGGAGACTGAGGTTGAACAAAACCTGCATAAGATGCTCGACAAACCTAAGGCCTCTAACGGAATCCATTACATTGGTTCGTCTTTTAAATCCATGTTTTATTTTATTCTGCTTTTAGATTCTTGATTTTGTACAGTTGTTATGATATTTTGTGTAATATTGTTGATTTAATGTTTTAATTTGTAATTTATATGAGGTCTCTTCTATTCTTGTTTAAAGTAATTTTTCCTTAGCTATGGAAGGTTTTACATCTCTTGAAGAAAAACAGGAATTCAAAGCACTGAGGACGTCACCTGCTACTTCTAGCCAAAGTACACTTATTTCCTCTTTTGTCAGTCCACTAGAACATCAAACTTTAGAAGCTGCTGCTAGCAAAACAATGAACTCTGGTGTTGCTGTAGATATGGTTGATAACAAAGTTTTTCATTTTTTCTGCTGCTCTGAAATATTGTTCATTTTCTCTACCAACTTCAAATAGGTTTGAAGTTTTCTCAACCAACTTTTATGTTTTTTCATCTTTTCTATTAGATTTATAGTTGTAATTGATATGTTTTAAATAAGTGATTTTCCATTTTGTTTGATATTATATTTTTATTGGATATGTTATTACTTTATGTTGAGGAGAAGAGAACAATAGAGAAAGATTAGGAGGAAGAAAATGACGGGGCTGGTGTTTACTCCATGAACTTGAGAAAGCATTATATTATGGTCGATGACGAATGGAATTGGAAAGAAGATATACTGCCTGAAATTTTGGATGACCACAAGGTGTATGATTTCATTGATTCAGGTATTCTACACATGGTTGAGGAGTTAACAAGAGAAAAGGAACTAAGGCATAAATAAGTCGAAGATGATGATTTTGACATAGATGGAATTGAGTTGACTCCATAATAGCAAAATGTGATAAGTCTTTAGTCAAATAAGAGACCTAGTTTTTAGGATAGTTTGTTGAATTGATTTAGTCAAATTTGTTTCCTTATTTTTAGCTAGAAGTGAGTTGTAGTTTGTTACTGCACGTTCATTTTGTTTCCTATTTATTTTACTGCATTTCACAATGAATAAACAAGTCATTCCCAGTACTGTTAGTTGTTTTCTATTGAATTCTTATTGCATCTAACAATCTGGTATCTAGAGCGTGACTTGAGAGAGATGGGTTCAGAAGCAAACTTTGTTTCAGCGTCCATTCCAAAGTTCGACGGTGACTACGATCATTGGAGCATGGTCATGGAGAATCTTCTTCGATCCAAGGAGTACTGGGTTGTTGTCGAATCGGGCTACAGCCAGCCAACAAGTATGGATGGGATGACAACAACGCAAAAACAGAACCTAGAGGAGATGAAGCTGAAGGATTTGAAAGCTAAGAATTACTTGTTTCAATCACTTGACAAGTCAATTTTGAAGACGATTACGCAGAAGGAGACATCCAAACAGCTCTGGGATTCTATGAAGATGAAGTGTCAAGGTAATGTTTGAGTGAAGAGAGCACAACTCAATCGTCTACGCCGAGACTTTGAGGTTCTGGAAATGAAGCAGGGCGAATCGATAAATGATTACTTTGGTCGAGTAATGACGGTTGCAAATGACATGAGGAATTGTGGGGAAGATGTGAGTGATGTCAAAATCATTAAGAAGATTTTGAGAACACTTACTGATAAATGGAACTACATTGTTTGTTCCATTGAGGAAGCCAAGGACATAGATCAACTCTCTGTGGATGCCTTGCAAAGTTCTCTGCTCGTTCATGAGCAAAAGTTCAAAGGAGATGGAGGAGAAGAACATGCTTTGAAAGTGACTCATGAAGAGGGTTATGATGGAAGAGGACGAGGGAAAGTTGCTTTCAGAGGAGGCCGAGGACAAGGTAGAGTCAGGGGTCGCCTAAACTGGAGCAAAGATACGGTTGAGTGTTATAAATGTCATAAGCTTGGACACTTTCAATACGAGTGTCAAGCAAATTATGCAAATTTGGATGAATCCGAAGAGATTATGCTAATGGTGTATACCGATACGCTTGGAGGTGATCGACACGATGTATGGTTTATTGACTCTGGATGTAGCAACCACATGTGTGGTGATTCATCTCTCTTCTGTGATTTAGAAAAAGGGTTCAACAAGGTGGTAAGATTGGGGAATTATGCAAGCATGAATGTTGTTGGAAAGGGAAGCGTTCAAATGACTGTAAAAGGAGTGAATTACCTTGTACGGGATGTGTATTACATATCAGGGTTGAAAAATAATCTTCTCAGTATTGGGCAGCTGCAAGAAAATGGTTTGGTTGTACTGATGCAGTCAAATATGTGCCGGATTTTTCACCACACAAAGGGATTGATTTTCAAAACCACCATGGCTGCCAATCGAATGTTTGTGTTGCTATCAAACAGTCGATCAGTCAAAAAGGAAAGAGATGAAGAGTGTCTCCAAGTAACCACTCAAGATGTGGCTCATTTATGGCATCGAAGATTCGGTCATCTCAGCTACAAAGGATTGAAGACTTTGCAAACAGAGGGCATGGTGAGAGGCTTGCCAAGTTTTTCCGAGGGTGAGATTAAGTGCAGCGATTGTTTGAAAGGGAAACAACATAGAGATGTAATCCCAAAGAAAAGTGCATGGAGAGCATCATCAAAGTTGGAGCTCGTTCATGCTGATATTTGCGGCCCAATATCTCCAGTTTCAGAGGGCAGCAAGAGGTATTTTATTTGCTTCATTGATGACTATAGTAGGAAGGCATGGGTGTATTTTCTTGCTTTTAAGTCAGATGCATTCACTTAATTTAAGTTATTCAAAGCTCTTGTGGAAAAAGAAACTAGTTTACCCATTAAATGTCTCAGAACAGACCGTGGAGGTGAATTCACATTAAATGAGTTCAAAGAATATTGTGAAAGGAATGGGATCAAGAGGCAATTAACTGATGCATATACACCGCAGCAGAATGGAGTTGCTGAGAGGAAAAATAGAATCGTGATGAATATGGTGAGGAGCTTATTGGTTGAGAAGAATGTTCCAAGAAAACTCTGGGCAGAAGCATTGAATTGGGCATTTTATGTTCTTAATAGATGTCCGACATCATCAGTGAAAAAAATGACGCCAGAAGAAGCTTGGTGTGGGGTGAAACCTTCAGTCGAGCACTCGAGAGTCTTTGGTTGTATAGCACATGCTCATGTATCGGATGCTCGGAGAACAAAGCTTGAGGATAAGAGCCATTGTTGTGTTCTTTTAGGGGTAAGCGAAGAATCAAAGGCATATCGGCTGTATAATCCTATCTCTAAGAGGATTATAATTAGTCGAGATGTCATCTTCGAAGAAGAAGAACAATGGAAATGGGAGAGGAGCTCTGAAGATGACAGAAGGTTTGATCTGGAATGGGAAGATGGCAACGATGAAGAGGTGGAGGATTTCGACGATGGTAGTGCAGAAGAAAATGTAGCTTCTTCGGCGAGGGACGAATCCAGTGATGGCAATGAAGAAGATGAAGCAACTCCTCCGATGACACCCCGAGTTAGAAGAGCGCCAGCATATTTGAATGATTTTGTCTCTGGTGATGGTCTTTCAGATGAAGGGGAAGAGGTACAAACTCATTTAGCCTTGTTTGCTAGTGTTGTTCATTCTAATCCAATTTCGTTTGACGAAGCAGTAAAGGAGGAGAAATGGAGATCAACCATGGATGCCGAAATGAGATCAATTGAGAAGAATGAAACCTGGGATCTTATTGAGCTTCCTAAAGGAGCTAAAAGAATAGGAGTCAAATGGGTGTACAAAACAAAGTTGAATGAGCTCGGAGAAGTGGATAAACACAAGGCTCGCTTGGTCGCAAAAGGGTATGCTCAGGAATACGGAGTTGATTATGAAGAAGTATATGCTCCCGTAGCTCGCATGGACACGGTTCGGATGATTTTAGCACTTGCAACACAAAGAAGATGGTGTGTGTTTCAGCTGGACGTGAAATCAGCTTTCCTTCACGGGAAGTTAATTAAGAATGTGTACGTGCAGCCAAGAGGTTATGAAATAAAGAATGAGGAACATAATGTGTATAAGCTCAACAAAGCTTTGTACGGACTCAAGCAGGCACCACGAGCATGGTTCAGCCGGATTGAATCATATTTTAGAAAGGAAGGTTTGGGGAAGGAGGACATCGAGCAGACCTTGTTTACGAAAGTCAACAAACAAGGTAAATATTTAATCATTAGCTTGTATGTTGATGATTTAATTTATACCGGAGATGATGAGAATATGATGGTTGAATTCAAAGAATCCATGATGAAGGAATTTGATATGACGGACTTGGGTAAGATGACGTATTTTCTTGGTATTGAGGTAGTTCAATTTGATGGTGGTATATTCATCAGTCAGGCGAAGTATGTGATAGAAGTGTTGAGACGTTTTGGAATGGAGCATAGCAATTCTGTTGAA